GATGTCTACATTCTAATTTTCTAATTGCCAAACCTGTGAAGATGTTACCTTACATGGCAAAGGGGAATTGAGTTTGAGGATGGAGTTGAGTTAAGGTAGCTAGTCAGCTGACCTTAAAATAGGGAGATTATCCTGGATTATTTGGTGGGCCCAATTTAATCATATGGGTCCTTCCTTAAAAGCATAGTAGTCAGAGAGATAGGGATACAATGAGATGTTGCTAAGTCACATCATGAGTTACTTTTCTTACATTTGTAGAGGTCAGAATCCTAAAATTAAGGTGTTGGTAAGGCTCCATTCCTCCTTCAGGCTGTGGGGGAGAACCGGTTTTCTTGCTTTTTCCAGTTTCTAGAGGTACCCACATTCCTTGGGCTGTGGCCTCTTCCTCCATCATAAAAACACGTCATCACTCCAACCTCTGTTCCGTAGTCATTGCCTTGCCTCTCCCTGTCTCCATCATCCCATTGCCTTCTGTCTTCCACTCTAAAAATCCCTGTGGTCACATTGAGCCCACCAGGATAATGCAGGATAATCTCATCTTAGGATCCTTAACTTATCTGCATAGTCCCTTTTGCCATAGAAGATAATGAATTCACATGTCTCAGAGGTTACTACATGAGCATTTTAGAGGGCCATTGTTCAGTCTAACACAATAGCATTTAAAAAAAAAAAGCAAAAACCAAAAAGCACAAGAGTATTAGGATGATCATCTCATTCTGGTTTGCCTGAAACTTTTGAGTTTTAGCACTGGAAGTCTTGCATCCCTCGGTCTGGGGCACAGTGATGGTTGCTCATTCTACCTGGTAGACACAACAAATGTTTAATAAAATGAACAAATGAACAGCAAATAGATTATGAACTTACTAACCTAGATCTTAGCATGCCATTTTGGATAGCACTTTCTGCTTTCACTAGGTAAATGCTAACATTACCAAAGATCCTCCGCCAGTTATATGGATTCATTATCTGAGGCTTGAGGAATCCCAGAATTGGGAGAAAAAAATTCAGGTTATTTGGAGCAAAAAGGACATGCATTTCCCTTGTTGCTCTGGTGACACAAATGTCTTAGGCCCAGGCAACTTCATCTTTGATATGAAAGGGAGTGATTGAGAATATAATTTTAAAAATATGAAATCTAAAACACATGTTTGAGGGTTGAAGAAAGCGAAAAAAGTACATAAGAGGAATGTAGGTTTCTGGCACAGCCTGGGGTTTCCTTTGAGGATGATAACCTTAGAAGTCTGGAATCAGTTTCCTCATCTGTTAGGTGGGGGTGGGCCTGCCCATCCTTAACTCACAGAGTTGCTGAGAAGAACAAATGAGATCCCACATTAGGAGCACTCTGATGGGGAGAGAGCCTGTAGTAAGATAATTTGCCTCTTTTTGCCTCAGTTTCCAACCCACCAATGAGGTTTCATTCATTCAACAGATACTTATTAAGCATCTTCCATGTGCTAACATTCATTTTGCACTAGAATACAGCAGTGAATACAAAATCTCTGTTCTTACAACAGTTATATTCTGGGACTAGGGACAAATAAATATACATTGGGATGATAAGTGCTAAGCATAAGAATTTAAAAAAATAAAAGAGAAAGAAAGAGAGTCAATGGGGGAGAGAGAGAGAGTTTTGTTTGGTTTGGTTTTTGTTTTTGAGATGCAGTCTCATTCTGTTATCAGTGGCATGATCCTGGCTCACTGCAACCTCCGCCTCCCAGATTCAAGCGATTCTCCTGCTGTGCATCTTGAGTAGCCAATATTACAGGCATGCACCACCATGCCTGGCCAATTTTTGTATTTGTAATAGAAACTCGAGTTCATCATGTTGGTCAGGCTGGTCTTGAACTCCTGACCTCAAGAGATCTGCCCAAAGTGCTGGGATTATAGGACTTTGTGAGCCACTGTGCCAGGCTGGGAGAGTGTTATTTTAATGAAGGTAGTCAGAGGAGGTGACATTTGAGTAGAGACTTGAGTGAAATCAGGGCAAGAACCGTGAGGATGACTGGGACAAGACAGTTTCAGACAGAGGAAAGACCAAAGTATGTGCAAAAGCCCTGTGGTAGGGAGTGGTTGTATTTAAGAAACCATAAGCAGGCCTGGGCCGCTGACACACAACAAGCAAAGAAGGAGGCAGGTGACAAAATCAGAGAGGAAGACAGACGTAGAACAATGGTGATGGCTGCATAGCCTGTGGAAAGAAAAACTTTGCATCTTAACTCAGCCAGGTGAAAGTCTACCAGAAGGTTCTGAGCAGAGGAGAAATCTGATTAAACTTTCCTTTTAGAAGGATCGCTCCAGCCAATATCAGAAGATAGACATCAAGGACAAAGGTGGGAGCAAAGAGATCAGATGGGAGCCCCTTGCAATAATGTTAGGGTGGAGTGAGGTGGCAGAGGTGGTGGTGGTGAACAGTGGTTGCATTCAGATTATATTTTGGAGATACAGAGAACTTTCTGATTGATTGGATGTGGGCAGAGATGCCGGATAAAATAAAGCACCTGTTTTCTACTTTTATTTGATAAATCTGCCAACCCTAGCTGTGGGGACAGAGAATAGAAGAATCAAGAGACTCCCATGTTTTCAGCCTGAATAACCGAAAGAACAGTGTTACCATTTTCTCAGAGGGAGACAATTTAGTGGTGGGGGAAGGGGTGTAGTTCAAGGGTTTGATCTTAGATATGGTAAGTTTGAGATACATTTGGTAATTGTAGATGACATTTGAGGCTACAAGACTGAATCAGTTCCCCCAGGAAATGAATATAATTATCAAAGAAAAGAGGCCCAGGGGCCTGGCAGTGTTCAGAGGAAACAGTCAAGGGGACGGAACTCATAGGCTTTAATTCATATAGCTGTTGAGCAGTAAATGAATAAACACATGTAACGTACTTAAAACGAGCACCTAGCAACCTTTTAATCAATGGGAACCAGCTTTCCTTCTTTCCTTTTTTCTTTATTTATTTGATTTTCTAAGGATTTGAATGAGAAATAATGCAGTTTATAATTACAAGATTTACTAATTCAATCAACATGTGGTTCGTCTACTGTCCGCTAGGTATTGTGCTGTGTACCTGGGAAACAGCAGTGAAAAACAGACAAAGTTCTCGGCCCCATGGAACTTATTCTAGGAGAGAGGGGACAGATGATCAACAAGATAAATAAGTCAATTACATGGTATAGCATGTGGGGATGAGAACTATAGCTGCAAACAAAGTGCTGGGGTAGGGGTGAGGAGGAGCCATTTAAAATCTGATGTTCATGAGAGGAACTGATGAGATGCAAAGGTGAGGGAGAACATCAAATGGGGGACTAGAATTCCTGGTGGGGGGAACAGCAAGTGCAAAGGCCCTGGGGTGGAGGCCCTGCCTGGTGTGTCCAAGGCAGAGCAAGTAGGAGAGTGACTTGATTAGGGAGAGGGGAGGGGAAGAGCAGCAGGCAATGGGGTCAGAGTGATAGCAACGCAGATCCTGTGTGGCCTTATAGACATTGTCATGACTTTGGTTTTTACTCCCAGGGAGTAGGAGCCAGTAGAGGCTGATTGACCTTTACCCCCTTCTCATTTTATAAGAATTTTTGTTGGCTGGGCACAGTGTCTCATGCCTATAATCCCAGCTCTTTGGGAGGCGAGATGGGCAGATCACTTGAGGTCAGGAGTCTGAGACCAGCCTGAGCAACATGGTGAGCTCCATCTCTACTGAAAAAAAAGAAAAAGAAAAAGATCCAGGCATGGTGGCATGTGCCTGTAATCCCAGGCTACTCGAGAGGCTGAGGCTGGAAAATCGCTTGAACACGGGAGGCAGAGGTTGCAGTGAGCCGAGATCACGCCACTGTACTCCAGCCAGCGGGTCGACAGAGCAAAACACAACCTAAAAAAAAAAAAAAAAAAAAGAATTTTTGTCATCTGCCAAACCTATTTTTAAAAAAAACGCTAAAAGCAGAATACTATTTATATTCAAGGTCACTAAAAGCAAACACTGGAGAACAATTGGGAATGATTCAGCATTAGGAATTTAAAAATTCATTCATTCCTTCATTCAACAGGCATTTATTGACTCCAAGAAACAGAAAACATGTCTTACAACATTGTCTAAGAAAAGTAACTGGCCCCAGGATTAAATGCTTAATATTTATGTGACAATTATAATGTTATGCCCTGGATTAATGTCAATTTACAGAAATACTGCCCAAATAGGAATTCCAGAGTTCAATTTACAGACGAGGAAATTCAGGCCAGAAATGTCAGACAACTTCCTGGATATCAGTGGCGGAGAAAGTGGTGCTAGTGTCTCCGTTGCCACAGAGGGATCTACAGACCAAGGAACACCTCTCTTTCTGTACCTCCATTAGCACCTGATACAGTGTTGGGTAAAATAATATGGCTGGACTAAAACAGTGCAGGCAGATTCTCACAGTGTTCTGCTATTAATCAGAAAAGCTCATGTGAACAAGCCATATCCTCCCTTCTTCCCTTTGTATCCAAATGCAGAAAGTGGTCTCTGTAGGAATTCAACCTCATTGTCATTGCTCCACTGACCCATTCAGCCTCTGGGGTCTGGTGCAACCCAAGGAGTATCCCACCCCGCTGCCAACATTATGGAAAAGCTTCTGAGTCCGGAACAAGGGATTTAACTCCCTGGCCTCATGTTTTATATCCTGAAAATGAGAAGCTTAAAAGGAGTACATGATCTCTGAGGATCTTTTCAGCTTGGGAATTTTAGGATTCCATTGAGATAGTTGCTTGAGATTTAGTGCACAAAAGAGAAAGAGGTGAGGAAAAGTTGGCTCCTTTCTGTTTTCACGTTCTTTGCTATGTGGCTAAAGCTGGTGCCTGAAATGTAAATACTGCGTCTCCTGACCCTTTAAAAAAATCTCTCTCTCTGTCTCTTCTTTAACCTCTCTCCTTTTTAATGTCTTTTGTTTTCTCTGATTCACAGTCAACTTTGGTTTTCTATTAAACTTTTAAAAGGCTTGAGCCAACCTTTCTTGTAAATTGTTGTGACCAGGGCGCAGCGTGGGAAGAAAGAAGAGAAAAGTTCTTGTTTCCACATGAATCACCACGGAGCAGCATCTGTCCTCAATTTTGACAAAGCAAATGAAAGGGGAAAAGCGTTCTTATTGACTGGAAGAAAACAGAGACAGCAAAGCCCAGAAGCTTCTCTTTGGTCAGCCTCGCAATTGTATTTCCCCCACTTTGCTGTCCTCCCAAGGGCTAGACATCCAACACTCCTACCGAGGTTCTCACGACATTGACAGTTTAGCTGGAAACCCAAGACCCACTCCTGCTTTCCCATGGGATTTCTCACTGCCTTACCATGAACTGTCCATCCTGCAGCCCATGAGGGCATGTCAGACCCAGAGAGAATAAGAGAAGGCCATGCAGCTGGTGCCAGGCAACATGTCTGCTCCCAGTGGACCCCAGTGGCCAGGCTTGGCCAGCCAGGCTGTGAAATCAGAGACAGCCAGCCCTCCAGAGCACAGAGACTCTCGGCCACTCTGACTTCATTAGCATGCAACTAGGGCACGGAGGCCTTGCCAGGGACTGTTGCAAGCAAGTTTGCTCAGGGAGACAGCTGGAAAGATGGACTGATGCCTTGAGTTTCTTGGTTCTTTTTGTTTCTTTTCATTTTGTCTTCTTTCTCAGCATCTTTCTGTCCCCTTTCCCTTCCTCACTTTGTCTTATCTTCCTTTTTCTCTGCGTTTCCCTTTCTCTTTCTTCCTCCAACCTACCACTCTCTCACTTCTCTCCCTCCATGTGCTCCCCATCTCTCCCTTCTCTCTCTATTCCCTCTTCCCCTTCTCTTTCTTTCTCTCTCTTACCTTTTCCTTACATGGAGGGTTTACCCAAGAGTTGCTCAATGATTTGTCAGTCAGCTGCTGATGCACCAGGTGACCAGATAGGTGAACCCATCTCAATGAATTTTCAACATGGACACTTAGCAATCGCTGCCTGGAAGCCTGGAGGTGGTGCAAAACATTTTCTTGATGCTTGTTCCTGCAAAAGACATTAAAAAAAAAATAATTCAGCTAAACTCATGAGTCAGCTGAATTATTGTCTTTGGGTTTTCTCTCTGTCATTGTTTGTTTCTCTCTCTATTAATCTTTTTCTCTCAACTTCTCTCTCATATCCTAGTGAGAAATTAGAGAGCTTAATTTCAAGCATCACAGTTAATTTGAAGTGAAACATTATGGGATTGTCGTTAAACCAGGACTGAATTTCACTGGGATTTAGAAAAAGAAAGTTACTCAATAACTTCTATTTCCTTAACATACCTAAGTGTTTTGTACTTTGGTAGAAGAGAAGTGACCCCTCTCTTCACTCAGGTAGGGAGTACCAAAAAACCAGAGCTCCAGTGAAGTTCATGTACAAGGAATTTTTCACACGACTAACAGATGAATTTTCTTTCCAAGTAGAGCCAAACGCCGGGTCCAGGGTGCTAGGCTATTAACACAAACACAATGAGGAAGGCTTCTCTTCTCCCCATACCAGGAAAGAGGACAGCCATAAATATGTCCTGTGGGGTCCAACAGGGCCCCTGTGGGGCTAGATGGGAGAAAGAACCCTTTCTGTGCCTCCCAGGCCAGTTGGCAGCTACACAGAAGGCTACTTCTCCTCAGGGCCATAGAGAGACAGGCCCTGAGGCAGCAGCCTTTGAGAGACCATCATGGCAACTTGGAAGTTCATACAGTCCATTCTTAACCTCTTTCTTATCCTCAGGCCAGGCCTCTGGCCCAGAGATTCTCACACTTAGTTCAAAGATTACTGGACTCCACCCGCACATCCAGGTGAGGATCTTTTGGGGGTGGGGGTGGAGGGGGAGACTCTGGCTTTCTTTTTGTGATTTTACACAAGAGACTTCTATTGTCCAGTTTAATAAACTTCAATGCTATTTCATTTAAAGCAGCTTATCTTTTTTTTTGGTTATTTTATGATAAATGTTGACATTTAATTGAGTTTAATAGTCTCAAAAACCACAATGGTGGAGGTGGTATTTTGTTTTCACTGTTGAGGGAAAATAGGGCTCAACATGGCCAGGCACGGTGGCTCATACCTGTAATCCCAGAACTTTGGGAGGCCAAGGTGGGTGGATCACCTGAGGTCAGGTGTTCAAGACCAGCCTGGCCAACATGCTGAAATCCTGTCTGTACTAAAAAATTAGTGGGGCATGGTGGTGGGCACCTGTTATCCCAGCTAGAATCGCTTGAATGTGGGAGGCAGAGATTGCAGTGAGCTGAGATCATGCCACTATACTCCAGCCTGGGAGACCATGGGAGACTCAATCTAAAAAAAAAAAAAAAAAAAAAAAAGAGCTGAACACAGTTCAGGGACTGGAAATGTCAAGACTCTTTCCACTTAAAAAATGAAGGATTAGGGAATTCTGTATTTATTATAAATAGATGTGGATCTTATACATTCTGTCCACTTTAACTGTAGAAATAAAAGTACGTCTCTCTAAAACATGCACTCTGGTCCAACTTTAAATTTATGAAACCCTTCTCTTACATCATTTCTGAATATCTTAGCATCTACTCAAAATCACGAAAAAGTAAGTATTACTCCTACTAAAATCTGGTGTCCGAACTGTACAAACTGCATCTCTGTAGCTTTCTAGTTTCCTTTGTGTATTGTGGAAAAAGTGTGATTAACAGCTTTGGAGCGAGGGTTAGAATCCCAGTCCCACTCAGTACTTCATCCCCCAGTGCCTCACTCAATATTACAATATGTGAGGATTAAACAAGATCATGACAAAGTGCTTTGCCGGGCACGGGGACTGCCAGGCCATAGGAGAACAATATAGTTACAAAACCAAGCAGCATTACCTTCCTCTGTGCTGTTGACGACCTGGGCTGGAGATCTTACTCTAGCAAACCACTAGGTGGCACTAATTTGGGGACTCCTTCGTTTGTCACCTGAAAGCATCCCAGAATTTATCACCATTCCATCTCCTCAACGCTTGCCTAAGTGTTGGTGACTCAGTCCGTGGATCTAAGTGTTGGTGACTCAGTCTGTGGATTTCACTCCTACTGGCTTAAGCCCAGTCATTTTGGGATGAATAATTGGCACTGCCATTACTCTAGCAACAAGGCACACATTCCATGTAGACCTGCAGGTAATATGGAATGCAGTCCGCGGGAAGAGACAGGTATAAAGAATAGGAAAGAGACAAGGAGAGTGAAAAAGAAGCAAAAAAGGAAGGATCCCTCCGAAGAGAAAAAGAGTGAGAGTGATGGGCAGAGGACAGAAGAGCAAGACTGAGGTGGGAGGGCGGGGAGGAAGGGGAAGTAGGTTAATATTCAACTAAAAAAAGGAGAGCTTTATTTTCATTTCTCATGCTAAGGAACAAACAAAAACACTGAAAGAGAGACTGCCTTTTCTTTGCAAACAAAGAGGCTTTAAGGGCTGTGTCCACAGAGCAGATGAAGGCACTGGCTGCCCAGCTTGTGAATGCCAGAGATAAACAAACCACACCCAGTTACTTTCAACCAACCAAGATACCTTCTCTGCCCTGTATTGCGGTGGTAGGATGGCCCAGAACACAGCGTAGGGCCACTAAAAGTTCTGGAGTATGAGGGAAGGTACCTGTCCTTGCTGTTCTTCACTCTGAAAATGCTGAGGCAGAAGCGATTCATGGAAAATGAAAACTTTTTAGGCTCAAGGTTAATTCTTAAAGATAGCAAGCTGTCTATCTCTGGGAGGATACAGACCAAGGATACGACTGCCTATTAGGATGATGGTGGAGGGGGGGTGTCCTGCACTGAGCAAGGGGGTCTCCCAGACTGTCAGGGTACTTTCTGAAGCTACCTTGTCCTTTTTTCTTTTTCCTTTTCTTTGAGATGGAGTTTTGCTCTTGTTACCCAGGCTGGAGTGCAATGGTGTGATCTTGGCTCACTGCAACCTCCACTTCCTGGCTTCAAGTGATTCTCCTGCCTCAGTCTCCCAAGTAGCTGTGATTACAGGCCCTTGCCACCATGCCCTGCTAATTTTTGTATTTTTAGTGGAGACAGGGTTTCACCATGTTGACCAGATGGTATCAATTACTTGATCTCATGATCTGCCTGCCTCTGCCTCCCAAAGTGCTGAGATCACAGGCGTGAGCCACGGTGCCCAGCCTACCTTGTTTCTTATAAAAAAAAACAGGCCCAGCTGTGACAAGCTTCCTGGCTGTCTTTACCCAAACCCCATTCACTTGATGGTCTGAATTTGGGGCTACAGGTAGGTACAGGGAGAAGAGGCTGTGGCTACTTAAGGTAAGAAATAAACATTCTTGCCTCTTAAGCCAACACCTGCAGATTTCACCTCAGTGCTGGAGTGGGAGAGGAGAGGTTAGACGTTCACAGCATGGGCCACAGAAGGCAAAAACTGAAAGGAAGCCAACCTTCCAAAACTTGCCACTTTGAAAATGTGATACCCTTGCAACCACCTAACTAAATACCTGCAGTTAACTCAGTCTAAAAGCATGAACTACCGTATTCTTCTGAGACTGGGGGAAAATATGCCTCACTGTACCAGTGCATGAATAATCAAAGCACTCCTTTCCTTCCATGTTATCCTCCCCTTTCTATTGATGTTATTGTTTTCACGTGCATTTATTGTCTTGAAAGCCTCATAACTCATTGCTTTAGAATGTTTAAGGAGCCAGAAGCCAGACAGTCTGGGTCTGAATATTAACCTCATGGCCTTGGGTAACTGACATTCTCTCCCGACCTCAGTTTCTTCATCTGTAAGGTGGAGCCAAGTTAGGTACCTACCTCAGAAAGCACCTGTATAAATGAAGTGGGATCATATAAAGAGCTTACTCCAGGGCCTGACACCATGCTATTAGTGATACAATATAAAAAAAGCTTCTTTTGCCTGTCTACAATAATTCAGGAGGAGCCTAGGCCATGAACATGTGAATTAGTTTGTATGCTTTCTTGTAGAGGTCAATTTACTATTAGTTTCAAAAAGCAATTTGCAAAGCCAAGATGAGAAATTGTTTAGTGTGATAAAACCTGACTCAAGACCTACAAAAAGTGCTGAGTGAGTTGGAAGCTGAAGCACACACAAGAAAAGAAACAACTGCCACCTCATAACCACAGACACCAGCAAAGCCCGAGGCATGCAAGTTTACTTTACAATTGCCCTATGCTAAGTAGCCAAGCTTTCCAAGAAAAGACTTAGCAGGAACTCTTGATACCACCATATCAGAGTAACCTGGAAGGAATTGAAAAGATCTCACTCAGATTGCCAGTCAGATAATTCTTTGAAGAAAACGACCAAACTTTAAGTCAATTTTTGCACTAGTTCCCACAATAAAATATAATCTCATTTTAGAAGGTTTTAGATAACGCTTTGTAAGTTGATTTGGAAATGAAGTTCACGTTTCATCTTCTGGTCCAACCGAAGACAACTCCAGAAAATACTTACTGGTGGCCAACCTCCAGTTGGTTCTTGCTCCTTCAAACTTGTTGAAGATATTCCCCACACTGTCGAGACAAGCAGGACGCATTTTATTTTTAGTGCACAGAAATTCTTTCACTGTCAAAATGGTTCATGGACACCAACATGATGTGTGTGGTTTGTACTTTTCCAGCAGCTCCAGGTTTCTTAACAGAACCGCTTCTTTCCCTT